ATAATGTCAATAAATCTTTCCTTCGTTGACTGCACGAACGTTAAAGCAAATTCAGACTACGATAGCAATATGATACTGATTAGTCTTGATATAGAAATATATTCTCCAGTTAGAGAACGTAACTGTTACCAATAACTGTTACTTATTTTCAAAGTCAGTACAAAACAAATCTCGCGTTTTAAAGTCTCTCTCTCTATCTCTCTGGTGATACATATTATTGAAAATAATATTTTTTATGCATGATGGTATGAATCCTGAAAGCTTATCATGGTTATTCATACCACTATCTACATGCACCTTTGGGTTAAACATATTTCTCTATATTTATAGCAGAAATTCTAGAAAATGAATATTAATATCTGAACACCTTCGTACATTGTGCTGAGCAGCTGTCTTATGCTCGAAAAGGAAGTTTTTCGTCGAAGAAAAAACTGAAAATAGAAAAATATGAATTTTAAATATGACACGTTATTCACGAGTGTCAAATATAATGTAACGTTTGGTAAGTCACACCGAAATGCAGACATTCATATAATTCCTACCTCGATATCAACATTAATTTGTTTTACAGTGTTTTGGTTTCATTAAAAGGTTATGTAAACATGTATAAAATCCCCTGAAGTACCTGTACAACTATTGATAGTGCTTACTTCGTCGTTTTAAACGATTCTCTGGGGTTCTGATATGTACAGTCGTATCTTTATAGTAAACTTGGTGTATGCTACTCCTGACAAAATATCAAATCATTTCTAGATTGTGCAGAAGGATTTTTCAAAAGCGGGACTGTGTGTGTAGGATGTTTTGATAATTGTTTCGGGAAAATATGCGATGGGAAGACCGGCGTTTGCGCATGTAAGTACTGTGTCATTTCTAATTGCACATTGGATTCATTTTACTTTCATTGTTATGATTGAAATTGTCTGAATACATGTACCTGTAACTCAGAAAATAACTTCATTTCTATTTACAAGAAGGAGTATTACTCACGTAAGGATTTATACACCATCAAATCAGTGTTTGAAATGCTTATACGTCGCTGCACCTTTCTACGATTGAAAAAGGAATTTGGTGATCAGAGTCGACATTCTCAACTACATACCTTATATAACACGAAACTTGCTTATACATCGTTTTATTTCTAAATGTGAGTGAAAAATGCTAATTACATTGTAATAAACGTTGATTCAGCTTGTGTGAACGGGACCTATGGAAACTACTGTGACAACATGTGCCCTGACAACTGTAAGGATGGGGTATGTGATCAACATACCGGAGAATGTGAAGGTACGTATATTGTAATACTATGTCAAACTGAAATTCGGCTACGAGAATGGACATCTATATAAGGAATTATACCGTAATCAAATATATTTTCAATACTAATTTGGGAAGGATCGATTAGTTCTTCGCTTTGTATATCATCAGAAGGAACTGTGTAAAGCTTAGCCTTTCAATTGTTTACAGAATATCGGTTTGTTATTCAATCCATAGCCATATTACCCTCGCAATATGTACATGCTCTTTCACGCAACTGTTATATTTCTGTCAAACATGAGCTCTGCTACCATTATTTATATATACTGAACAAAATAAGTTAAGGATCATAAACTTGAAACAGTGCAGTTTTACATACAAATAATAATATGATTATATTTTAAATTTTAATGACAGAACATTCATTTTAGTCTTTAATTACACAAAACAAATCATTTGTGGTTTGCTACCAAGAGCAGATAACCCTGAGTAACAGCACCCTTGAAATCAAAGTGTAAGAGGAAGTAGAGCAAGTTAATCATGTAGACAAAGAAAACTCATCAAACTGCAATATAGGCAGTATGACCTCCGTTGACATCAATGACTGCCCTGCAACGTCTGCACATGCTCCTTATTAGTCGTCGGTGGCTGATCTGTGGGATGCGCTGCCATTCTGACATCTTGCAGAGCAATCATAAGCTGTTGGCGGTTCTGTGGCGGATTAGGTCGAGCTGCGTTGCAAGGTGTCCCAAGCATGCTCGATAGGGTTCAGATCAGGAGAACGACTTGGCCAGTCCATTTCGATTGCTTCACGTTGAAGAAAGCACGGTGAGGACGAGCATTATATCAGAATAAAATCATGGCCAACAACTCCTGCAATGGGCCTTACTATAGGGTGTAGAATCTCGTCCCTGTATCGAACAGCTGTTAAAGATCCATTGTCTATGATGTAGAGGTCTGTATGGAAGTCAACACTGATCCCTGCCCAAACCATACTGACCCACCACCAAAGCGATCATGCTGGACAACATAGCAGTCTGCATAGCGCTCTCCTTGGGTTCTCCATACCCTCCTCCTACCGTCATGGAAGTCAACAAAAACCTAGACTCATCTGTGAACATTCCAATGACGTAATTGCCAATTCAAATGATGAGTGGCCCATTGATGTCTGGATTGTCGATGACCTCTGGATAAAATTGGTCACTGCTGGTCTTCTAGCTCGTAAATTAGAGGCATGGAGTCTGTTTCTGATTGTCTGGGATGAAATCCTTAGATTTGTAGCACGCTGAAACTGAAGATTCAAGACAGGAGCACTCAAAAACCGCTGACGTCGTGCCGTGATGCAAATGAATCTGTCCTGTCGGGCTGTCGTACAGCGTGGTCGTCCAGATCTGGGGCGTTGACGGACGTTATTTGTCTGTTGATTCCATAGCCTACTAATCACGCTCTGAGAAACATGAAGCTGTGCCGCCACATGTTTGACCAGCTTGTTATAGCTCGCGCGACTTCCATATCATTTAAATGTCTTCGCATGATTAGTTTTTCAAGTTTTCGTTACAAATTGATTAAATGTTTCCAAATTCAACTTTTTTTAGCTTAGAAGTAACAGAATCAAAACCTGCAAGATTCCTCTGTAGTAATAGACCAGTCAGTTTTTCACACCACCATAGTTAAAGGCAAGACCTTTGCACGTGCTTTCACCTTTGACATGACTTTAGGTACATATTGGAGAAACTACGAGTGCAATTACCGGCAATACATGATTTGAATTTTTAAAGATATTATGGTCACAATTTATGATCCTTAACTTATTTTGTCCAGTATATCTGTTATCTTACCATACGGAATTTCCCTGTCCAACTATGTTGTTAAGACATCCGGGAAGTGCAGACCACTGACATTTGACATACCATGCAAAGTTTCAACTTGTATAGGACTTCTTCATTGAAAATATTTTATGTCGGCTACCGTTGTTTTAAACTTAATATGTTGTAACGGACACTCATGTAAATGCAAATTTACTTTTTTATTGTCGTCATTGTACATACATCCAGACTGACAGGTGTATTAAATCAGTCAACAGTCCAGCTTATTTCCTCGGTGATGGACCGAACCCGATAAACATTTACCCTAAGTATGCAGATTCGATAAATATTTCATTGTGTTGGACCAAGCACATTTGAAAATATGCTTCACTGTCGACTAATTAGGTGTATAACAGTTTCATATTGATGCATTGTTTAGAATGTCAATTCATTACGTCGTTGAATAATAATCTATGACTGTCCCTGGCAATGACAGGTGTACCGCAAACCTGACTCAACATAATTAGAAAACCGGTTATTATTCATACGCTACCTACTTGAATAAGTAGTAATACATACATGGACATTCAAAAAGAACTAGAAAAAACCAGAGACAACAAAACAAAAATAAAGCAAGGACAAAAACTAAACATTTTTTTTTTAGAAAAGTCCTATAGTTAGACATTTTTAAATTAGAGGTCTTGTATTGCAATTTTTCTCATTTCGAAAAAGAGCAGTAGTGTAAGTTTTTAAATGTCATGTATCTTTCATTTAGAAGGATAAAACAAATGACTGAGCAGAGTGTCCACTTTCCAACTTTGTAATTACATATCAAACTTTTGGCATATCACATTTTTGTTTTTGAAAATTTATTGCTGATATAGATAGGCTGCAGTGGTCTGGATGGAAGAGAATATGTGAATTGTTGCGATTTTACGTCCGATCATTAAATTAAACCCCAGGAAGGAAATCATGAACATTAATTCATTCTTCTTATTTATATTGCCTTAAGTGTTGAAATCGTTCATTTCGTCTCAGGACCATGTTATATTTCCTTTCACCATATGTAACACTCCTACCTGTGTACAAGGATTTATTTATCGTTCCAGACAAATGAATCTTACACATAACGCTATACAGCGACAGATTTATATCGAATGCAAAATCGATTTCTTTATATATAGAGGATTGGCATTATTTTTCAATGAAAACATATTCCATATTTTGCGTCTACATTTTATATTCATATGATTTGTAAGGCATCCCAATATTTTGTTCTAAAAATTATCCTAATATCACACCCTCGATAGGAACGGGTCAATTACTAACCCGTCCGTTGTATTCAGTGTATTCAGCAAGCAGCAAGTAAAAAAACAAATCGATATTTTCATTATATAATGGTTAACTTACTTTTGAGGACTAGTGTGGCTTGCTGGTCCAAAAAAACAACTACAAACAAACAAAAGATATGATGTTGCATTTTATATTTTTGTATGACATGTAATTGAAACTCGGAATATATGTGGATATGATTAACGCTTAGTTAAAACGGAAATTACCGAAATTAACTCATGGCCTTTGCCGAGATTCTATATGAAGGTGCTAATATAGATATAAACGTTTTGTGTTATAATCATCCGATAATCCAATATCTAAACAAAGATCAAGCACGTTTGAGTCAAAATAAATGAAAGAACTTCTCACAAAAACCTACCGTTATGACTATATATAAATAAAACAGAAATGAAGTAACCTTGTTACGTCACTTTTTGGATTCAAGTCGCATTGAACTGAAATGTGGATTATATACACAACCTTTAAAGATTTAAAAGATCGTGTTCAAATTGTCTTGCTTGTTTAGCAAGACTGTTGCCATTGTCTTCAGCAACATGCCATTTATTTGTGTTATAAGTTGTATAAATGATTGATATCTTTACACAGCTTGTGTTGATGGTTACCATGGCAACAAATGTGACCAACCATGTCCTGATCACTGTAAGGATAACGTATGCAAACAGGGAAATGGAACATGCAGAGGTACGTTGATCACCGCAAGCCTCGGAATACCAATAATTAATGTCATTTACAAGAAAAATATACGGAATCTTAAAACAAAACGTGAGGAAAATAAACTTGTAAAAGGAATTCAGTTTGTTAAGTGGGAAGTAATATGTGGACAAATGATTTTCACGCACACGCTTTTACATTTGTTAGGAGAATAAGATCAGGTTTTATTGAATGATAAGCGTAATCTTCGCCTTTCTATTCTTTCTAAATGAAATTTGCCATGTAAGTCGTAATCGTTCTCAGAGACATTACGTACCCAAAACTTCATCTTTGAGTTCATAATTGAGTGGCCAGAAGGCTCACTTACTATCATCGTATACACAAAAATTCATTGTAATTTGTATAAAATTATTAAATGTAATATATTATAAACTAGCCATCACATTTCATTAACCTGTATCACCATGCAACTTAATAGTTAGAAAGGGTCCTGTTTCTGCCACACTCAGGGACACAATGCCAACGTTTCCTTTATTATATTTTCCATTTCTCAGTATCTCTGAATGCCAACAATTGAGCTAAAGATCAATAATTACATTTTCAAAATTGTGATGAAGAGTTGAAGCATTATTTTTAATTTCCCGATATATATTTTGATTTAACGTTCATTTTTGTAAGGATATAAACTTGTTATCTTCCAAGAACAAAAGTACAACTTACCAGTGCAAGATCGGAGAAATAATAAACAGGTTTTTCCAAATTGCAGATTTTCACGACATATTTTAATACATTTGTATTCTTTAAGAGGACTTAGATGAGATAAAAATTAATTTGCCCTCTTCATAGCAGCACTAAGAATTTTACGTTAGTTTTTCTTTTCTTTTCTAAATGTCTTCTCTGCGATGTAAATCAGTATTCTTTTGACTGTGATTGTCGCAATGATGTACAATCCCGGACAAACAAATATCCACTCTTTGGCAAAATAAATCCCCGTCACCATTTCATTTTTTTAAACAAAGACCACCACGTGGGCCTTCTTTTACATGATGTTAAATAGCTTTCGTATATTTACACAGGAAACGTGTATAAACGTTAGACCCATAATGGAATAATGGAATTTAATCAAGAATTGTCTGAATAATATCGCCTCACAATGATTTGTTAATAATAGAATTTAATGTTTGAACACAAGCAGCAAAAAACAGATATTGTTTTGACCCGTATGCTTCAGGTCGAAAAACCGTGTAAGTTAACTGATTAAGTGATAAATCATTTTCTATCAACAGAAAGTAACAATGATTGAATCGATAGCTAGGTTTACGAAGAATATAACCCATGATCTATATTCCTTCCCTTGTCTCAATTCTAAACCACAATGTCCAGTAAATGAGTTAAAAAAGACATCCCCAGACTCGTGACATACATTCTCATATTACTTTTTGAAACATTCTGATTTGTAATGGAATTTGATACACATTTCTACATTGAAGAGGTAAGTTTCAATGTAAAAGTTGTGCTGTTTCTGGTTAGTGGTCCCAAAATGATATATTTTGCAATTTTTATATGATCTGGGTTTCTTAAACATATATGTTTGGAATGTTTGTATACTCACCCTTGCGCCCACACTTTAAAACTCATATTTTTATCAATACTTTGAACATCAAAATGACAAATGTCTAAACGCACACCAACCTACCTCGCAAAGGCTACACAATACGCTACTTAGTAAATTATGTAGTATTTCGGACTGTCATCATTTTCAGAAGTCAACAAAGTACAAATATAATTAATCACCGATTTGGCACGAATATTATTATATCGATGCGTGTTGTACCTTTCACTCATTTATGTCATTGCCCTTCGCCCACACCGCGTCAATAAAATAGAAAACGTTCTATGTTCCGAAGAAACAATTTATACAACAAGTATTGCAATACGCATTATTCTAGGATGTTGTAATTTTTAATATGTTTGAAGAACACATGTAGAATGACAGTTTCCATAATGCTTTGGTAACATATATGTTGACTCGCTATTTTGGGCCATATTGCGTTGCCTGCCCCAGTAATTGTTTTGATCCCGTTTGTAGCAAGACATCTGGAATGTGTAATTGTAAGTTATCAGTCACTTGACACTTAAGGAATGTGTTCAGCAAGTTATACAGTGACATTATTGTGTTTTTTGCTCTTTCTAAATGTGCTGCAATAACATAATCGAGTGGTGATCTTTTAAGATATTAATGTACACCTACATTTTATTTAATAAAGCAATGAAATATTACATAAAAGATATAAAACGTAAGCATTTTCATTGCATGTAATGCACGTACATAATGAATCAAATTGATGTAGATGTGATGAGAAATTACTGGAAAATTAAAAAAAAATCAAAATCGCTTTGTTTAGATTTGTGAAATCGTCAAAAAGTTAACATCAGTTTGGCTGTCATGACTGTAATTCATTCCAAAGCAATGATTTAAATTCTGCCTTAATATAAACAATTCCAACTCTTTCTTCTAAACATTGTATGAATATTGATAACGAAGCACTAACATTTTTTCGTTGCAGTGTGTACAGATGGCTACTATGGGATGCAATGTGACATGAACTGCTCTGATCACTGTATGAATAATACCTGTCAGCAGAACGGGGGACAATGCATTGGTATAGAGATAATTTACTATGTGTTGTTCAGAAGTTATGTTAAAGTTTTGCAATTTGAAGATAAGAATATTCAAATTGAATGGTTCAAATAGATGGGATAGAAATGGTCTTTTCCAAGATTTAAGGTAGAACAGACACATTCCTAAATAAGGAGGCTGCGTTTTCGATGTGTTTTAAGCCGGGATTTTGTCTAGAGTTGATAGTAGCTATCGTTCCTTTGATTGTAGACATTTCTGTCACCGGGATTGCTATTATAATGTAATTTGTAACTACACGATGTTAGAAATATATGATATAAAGTCTCTGTTAGATCGCAGTTTATATATTCGAATAAAATGGCTTTATTATTTCTAACAAATTGTAAAACAGATTAATTTGTGTTAAAGCGAAATTTTAAAATCGTACCCGTATCAGTTATGGAGCAATTTAGTCACCGGTTTTTCATAATGCATTGTTGTATTTTCCTAAGTCGCGTCCTAAAAGAACGAAACAGCTGTATAATGCAGTTTACTTTATTGTTTGACTCAATTTTATCTCACTCAAAAATGAAAAGGTGCTATTCACTTGTGTGTCTTTTGAACACTTTTTTAAATCAACATGATATCATTCATATTCTATTTGTATTTTTAGGATGCAAATCGGGATTCCACGGCACAATGTGTAACCAACGATGTCCCGCAAATTGTAAGGATGACCGGTGCAATCAGTTTCTTGAGAATTGTGAAGGTAATGATAAATTTATTCCATATATCATCTATATAGCATCAATGTTAACACATTAATTCATAATCTTATCCCTTATAAGAAACATTGCCAAGAAGAAAAATATTAGTTGCTTATTACCGGAAATTTCGAAGCATAGTTCAACACGATATTATTGTAAAATATATGAGATTTGCTTTATCTATATGCTCTTTCAGTGTCAAGTCCTGAAATATAAAGAAATTTATATTTCCAAAGCACTGAAAATTTCAAATTTTATTAACCCATAAGCATGCACAATCACAGGATATTAATATTTGAATTTATTACAACAATCATTGTATGCAATACACAATACACACCACGTTGAAAGAAAGTGTTGTTTTTATTATGTAACCAGTAATTCTCTCAAAATTGAAAAAGGAAGCAAGGCGTGACCGAATAAGCGGTCAATGTCAAGGTACAACTTTTTAGCTCTAATTTTGTTCCGATCTTGATACTACTTAATGTGCATATGATACTGTAAGTTATGCGATCTGCTTATTACTTTAATGGTATACATGCTTTCTAATGTAAAATTAAAGAAAAAATGGAGGAAATAATAAACATTTATTTAAAAAGAGCTAAAAGCTAAAACAAGTAACAGCCTATGTCCTTACTATAGAGTGTGAAGCTGGCTATTACACCTTTGCATGCAACCAGTCTTGCCCTGGCAACTGTAAGGAATCACGCTGTAATCAAGCTAGCGGACACTGCCATGGTATGGTTTTTAATTCCCCTACCATGTATCACGGTTATTTATTGCGATACGATTGTAGTTTACAGAGTTAGGCCTTTACAGTATGATTACCAATGGACATAACTTGGTTAAACTTGGTATGTAGTCTTATATCAATAGATTCCTGAAATATGAGATCGACCATGCAACGGTTACAGAATAATTTTTTGCAGTTTGGATTTGATTGCGATTGGTCAGGTGACCGTTCAAGATCATGGGCCTCTTTCTGACAGAATAATGTGTATCATTCGACGCAATGTTAATCCTCATTTGCATTTGCACTTATAGCACATTTACTCGCTAGATAAAACTAATGAAGCATAAGACGGATACTCTTCTGGAATACTTGGCCTTGGACTTTTCAAATGTTCTCTTGTAAACCTTTATCTAGTTATTTTGATGCATTCACGTCCGTCCGATTTTGTCTTAATTTTTTAATCATTTTTTTTCTAAATATCATTCCAAGATGAGGTAACACTTCTTTGCTTTGCATATTTTATTTACACATATTTATTCACCCATAAGTACAGAATTGTTGATCTTAATTATACCTCCTTTGAGAAAAATACAAATCAAAGTTTCTTAAATATAGAAAAAAGTTATCTGTTAAAATTTATACATTTATGATTACAGCGTGTACTATTGGCAACTACGGAATCGAGTGTAAGAAGAGATGTGGTCAATGCAGAGGAGATGGAACGTGCAATATAAACGACGGCGCATGTGAATGTAGTGATGGCTGGGAAGGGGATACTTGTAACAAAAGTAAGTATTCACAAACAAAATGGAGATTCAGTGGTCGAATTCTAAGATAAACGTTAACATGTATTTGCAAATGAAATGACTTGTTCCACAATGATTGAAATGTTTTAATAGTCTTGATAAAGACGTCTGGACATAAATATATTATTATTTCAAACATACATTACAGAACAGGCACAGGTATCAGCCACAGAAGATCAGACGGCAGTGTATGCTGGGGTTAGTGTAGGAGTAGTTACCGGTCTTGCCGTCCTCGTTATTGTGTTGATCGTACTTCTGCGGAGGTTTGCTTTATTATTATTGATGTGAAACAGGGTATGCCTTATTGTGCACTGAACTAGTATATCCAATTATTAATACACAGTTAAATGACGCTATATTCATATTCAATATATCCTGTTATGTTTGTTGCTCAATTTCAGATACACTGATGTTATATATATGAACTATGTGAGTCATCTTCCACATATAAACGTGGATAATTAATATCGCTTCAGAAAGAGGCTATCAACGTATAAGGAAAACTCTAATGACCAGAGTGATACAAAGGCTAACAGAATACATTATTTACCAACCATACCAACGAACGCACTTGAGGAGTGTTCGAACGATCCAAATGATGCAGGTTGTATACTTGTTTATTTTAACATTTAGCATTACATACAAGTATTTTTCTGCTTAATGTTCTCACACAGGTCTTTCAAGTTATGCAAATTAGAATAAGAATGCTGTCATACTTAAAAATATTGGAAATCAAAACAAAACTTCCTTAACTATGATATTACATCAGTCGTATCGTAATATCATTTCTATAACATGTTTGTGGCAATACCATAAACTTGTGGTTTAATAGATAGTATTCAATACTCCCTGTTCGCGACTTGGGTTGTTCAACTTCCCAGGCATTTTGTTGTGATCGACTGTGATAATTATGGCATGGAAGGCACTTAACGCAATCCGGCAAACAATTAATTTGCAATAGATTCGTTATGACTAAATTTTGTATGGTCATCTAGCAATCGATTACCTTGAAGTCACTCAGCCCTTTATTATTTGTTATGATTTATAATCATTCATGTTTTTATCTACATCTTTCTGAAAGTGTCAGTTTTGTATATCAGGTATCGGCAATTCACTGCAGATCAAATCATTACGCCGTTGTTGAATGTGGTTTTACTCTCTCACAATGGTTATTTTTAACATTATAAGAACATCTACTAACTATTAAAAAAAACTAACGTGAGTGAAAAAAATATCATATGGCAGTCACTGGCTATGAAACCTATATTTATATTCAATTAGATATTGTGAACGAAAGTGGACGTGTCTACGTTAATATGCACGACATTAATCTCACTACCGACAACGAGGTTGTGTACAGCAACATTGACGCCAGTAAAATGCGTATAAATGATCTGCGATTAATGATCTCCAAGAAGATGATGAATAAAGCTGAAGGATTTCGGGAGGAATTTAAGGTATTTAATCTGGTAAACATGGACATTTAAGTAGTTAATCGATATGTTTGTGTAACACTTTGTTAACTTTTGTAGTACGTTTATGTTTTTGTGTAACACTTATTTATTGATGTGGTTCTGTAACACTGTTTACTTTGAAATTTGAGTTGTACATTGACCTATGCTTAGCATTTAAAAACTTTTGAGTTAAAATCAAATCTTGACCTAACATGACTATAATTGTTTGTTCCCAACATATATGTTCTTAATAATCATTTTCCATTAAATCGTTTAGATGTTCCCTGTGGGCGCAGTTCATCCTCACGAGATTGGCAAAAAGGCGTCAAACAAAGCCAAAAACAGATTCAAGACAACATTCCCATGTAAGAAACTGCTCGGCTGTCTACCAAACCAAAAATCATAATATTAAAATGAAAACTGTCTCATCATTACATATGTAAACATTTTTTGACATTGTCCTCTACGTACTCGACATTCTGTTTTCTCTTTTTGTATTTTTGCTACTATCTAAATGTCATGGTTTCAACATATTTAATTTTAAATAGTTTAGCCTAGGATCGACCGTTTTCCATAATTCCGAACAAACTACATTGCATTATGTATTTGCTGTGTTTGAATTATTTTAATTTTTATAAAATCGTTTTGTTTTGTTTTTACAGATGACCATTCTAGGATTATATTGGAAAAGTCAGGAAATGATATAGATACGACTTACATCAATGCAAATTACATCGATGTAAGTATATTCTGGAGTAAATGGAAATGCAGGCTACATTAATTGATATCCTTTTTCCAGATGGAAACAAATTAATGGTATCTATATTTCTTCTTAACCTATTTTCACAGTTAGGAATTTGGTTATGTCCAACATTTTATGATTTATAAAAAGCATTCTGAATTTGCAACTTCTATTCCAGGGTGTTGAAACAACAAAACAATACATAGCCAGTCAAGGTAATTTATATGTTTAACTTTTGCATCTAAGATTAATCTTTTGTTATGCATACATAATTGTATGTGAAGATTCGTTCCGTTGTTGCCTTGACTGCAATGCCTTTTTATTAAAATTTTTCATGTGACGGTTATTATTTGTGTTTGATAATCTTTTTTCATGCCTAACAGCGTTTGGTTTTATCTTAATTATTTTTTTTTATTTTGTCAAACTAACATCACAACTTTGTCAACATATTATTTTCATCAATATACTCCCATAGCATATTGTATAACACAGCATAATCCGTATAAAAAGTAGTATGTATTATGACATCGCAAAAATTGTATTGTCTCACATTCTAGAGCTTTTGAAGTATGAATTGTGGGTTCGCGAGCTGTGTATTAATTAATGAACATTACCCCGTAGAATATTATCTAATCTTAACACCAGTTTTGATTCAAAATGTTATTTATGACACATAGGACCAAAGCCAAATACGTTGGACGATTTCTGGAGGATGGTGTGGCAGGTCAGCTCCGGGAAGATTGTGATGCTGACAAACCTAATTGAGGGAGGCATAGTATGTATACACTATTTTCCCTTGTGATATATAATCTATTGTTTTACCAATTAAGTCTGGCGTATAATTACAGCGATATTATCATTAACTATAGATAACATATTATGCACTTGCATATTTTTTCATCATTACCTTATGTGTGTCTTATTATTTTTACATGTCAAATGTGGTAAATACTGGCCAGATGAAGGGGAGCCACTATCAACTCAAACATTTCATTTGAGACTTGACAAGGAGACGACATATGCATTTTACGCCATTCGTGACATTTCAGTCGTTCAAAAGAAGGTAGCATTATTATCATGTAGCCATTTTTATTCATTATAAGAACCATGTATCTATGAAATAACTATATCTAATTGTCTTTTCGTTTGTTTTTTATCGTTTTCCGTTTTCATTATTTCATTTTAAAGCAAAAAAAAAGTGAACATTACATTTTTTTATCAGACAAAAGAGGAGCGACAAGTGCAACAGTTCCATTTCACGACATGGCCGGATCATGGAACCCCTGACACTCTGGAACTTGTTCTTTTCCATCGTCGAGTAGTGTCACATGAAACGCACCTTACAGGACAGATGGTGGTACATTGCAGGTAATCTAAGACACAGCAAAGTGTTCAGCTATGCTTTTTCTTCCAGTAGCAAAATCATTGACATTGTTTGAGATGATACAATACTCATCAGTATGTTTGGATACTAGCGACGTTTTATCGTAATCTTAATCAATCTATCAAACTCAAATGTTTGTATATCTACCGTTGAGAAATAGCATCCAAACATGGATTTTTTATAAATTCGATTTTTTTTTTCATTTAATGCTGTGAATGACAACTGATCAATATATTATTTATATTGCAGTGCTGGTTTAGGTAGAACCGGGACCTTTATTGCATTAGATGCACTTCTCATTAACGGCAAGGAAACGGGATATGTCGATATTCCAAGATACATTAAGACAATGAGGAAGGACAGAATGAACATGATCCAAAACTATGTATGTGTTAGTTCCAAATTTGCCGTTATTATCATTTCAAATAACAAATATACATTGATTGGTACCAATTCTGAAATATGCATTACTTAAAATACTGTAATATTCTTTAATAATGATATTGAACGTGTTTTTATTCTCGTTAGAATGCTGGATGATTCCGTTGTTGTTGTCTTTTGAATTAGAAAAGTGGCATTGAGCATGATTTTACATAGCGTTCGTGTTCGATGAATCAGAAGACACTGATCTTATTATTCATGTAATTGTAGAGAATTAATAACTTATCTAATGGTTTGCTTTAGATATTTCCTTAACGTATAAAACCTTACATTCAAACCAATCTGTACGTAAACCCATATGAAAATAAGGAGTTCATGTCTTTATAAATTTAGACGTTCTTTACACTTTAGGATCAATATGTTGCGTTGCATGAGTTACTTGACGAAGGCTTCAATTTACAACCATCGCACATTTCCCGGGCAAATTTTCCTGCAGTATTCGCCAAAATCTGTCCTGGAAATCAACCTACAAATCAGACAAGGATTCATCAGGAGTTCACGGTAAACACTGAAACATAATTATCGTGTTATCATATCACAACAACAAGAAAAAAGGTAAAATAATAGTGTTTAAAAAGCTTGAAAGTCCTATCAGTTAGTTTTCGTCTGTTTCATAATGGAAAGTATTATACAACAGAACATGTAATCTGTTGCAGGCATTGCAAAGCTTCAACCCAAATTATCCTCCAAGCTGTTATACAGCAGCGATGCAGAAAAGTAACAAAGACAAGAATCGAAAAATGGACATCCTTGCAGGTATATAATGATAATCCCGATGATATGATATTTGAAATAATTTATCAATTATGGTATCAATTTCAGTACAAATTGCGGTGATAATTATCTGAAACTGATCATAATTTTGTTTTAAGTGGACAAGTTCAGAGCATTCCTTCAGTCGCAGCAATCGAATAGGACCGATTACATCAATGCAGTTGAAGTACAGGTAACGTTTTCTTTTTTATTCACGTTTTTTTATGTACGTGTATATTACATATCTCTTTTTATACATATGCTTTGAAAACAAAATCTTTACGATTGAATTATGATGTAAATGATCAATCTCTAATTTTATGAATTTGTCATACACGCAAAACCCATTAACAGTCTCACACATCAAAGTCCGGGTACCTGATGACACAGTTCCCTTTAGAGAACACATTTGATGATTTTTGGACGATGGTGTTTGACTATAGCTGTGATAATATTGTTGTCCTTGGCCAACCTACCGAAGTAAGTAATTTAAAGCATTCTTTGTATAAAATGT